TGCAATAACGCAAAACCGAAGAATAACAATCTTGTCAGAGCTAGCGAAAATCAGTTAAGTGGCCTCGAGAGGCAGAAGCAAGCTCTGTCTTATAATCCAAAAGCCTCAACTTAAATACCCTCAAACTGATTTGCATTTTGATGAGGAAACGGAAAGGAAAAAGTGATAGTAAAACTGAAAGTATAAATAATTGATTACTTAAAATAACAATAACTTTGCAATTTTCGTTTCATAGAGGAGTCTGTGTTCTCACATTTTTTCCTGTGCAATATACAGGATTACTTATTTAAGATCTAAGTAAATCGCTTTCTCCCATATAAGAATCGTTATTTTATATCATATGATTCTAAATACCACGAAATAGGGGAGGATGGGGCTGAACTCATCACTCTAGCCAACCTCGATAATGGTCCCGGCATCCTTTTGCAAGTTGCCTAGCACACTTATGAAGGTGAATTTATACCATGAAGAGTGCAGTCTTTATCATGATGCCCATGGAAAGATCGTTATCGAAGTGAATAATCACCGACTTCCATAAAGGTGCAGGAATCGTTATGAAATCTTCGGGGTGGAGGAACATGAAAATACTTTCGCTTTTATGCTAGGGTGTAAAAGAATTAGATCCATAAATATGAATTTACGACGAGCTAACGAGGACGGGGTTAAGCTTAATACATTCACCATTAGTTTATCTCTGGATTTTTTTGTGGTATTTTTGAAGAATACGTCATTAAATATTTTTCTTTCAATAAGATTACTGTTTTTTATTGCATGAACTTCATAGTTATGATTAATGGTTTAACCTTTTTAAACTATCGATATCAGGTGACAAGGCGCACCTATGACTTCCCCGCGCCTCGGGAAAGCCTATAATTAACAGAATGCAATTAAGTACATACAGTTTAATATTAAATTAAGTAATTTAAAATTCAGCTCTCATTTTCGTGTACCACAGAGAATATGAAGCCTTTTCAGAATAGCTGCCCTAAGTTTTTACGTTTGAGAGCTTTTTGTGATAAAAGCTTTTAGTGATGACAGATCGTGTTAACAGATGCTCGAGTATTCTTGCTAACTAGCCTTTTATCACTTTAACTAGCTTTTTATCACAATTTTTATTCAAGTTCAGATTTCTGTCAAAAGGCAGAATTAAGCATGTATATTATTATTTTTCTTCTTGAAAATTTCAATTCTCCTTAAAATGGCCTTTTCGTCGCTCAGTTTCATAATTCAGCGCGACTCTATTTTACTTTTTGTTTTCAAATCCACTGTGCGCTCCTACTGTGTAAGTATAATTATTAATGCTAGAGCGTTTGCATAGAGAACACTGGCTGATTTCACTTGATTGAGGGTGTCAGTTAACTGCAGAAAACAGCTGGTTGCAATAATAACGTTTTTTCTCGAGAATTTACCAGAAATAGCAAAGTTTTAGAAGCAAGAATATTTCTCACGTCCACTTCAGACTGGTGTCAAATTAAAGAATAAGCACTAAACTAAAACCGCGAACACTTATCATGGACATAGGATTGCAGAACATCCTCTCAGCCTGTTGTCAAACAAAATGGTTTCCTGCGGATATCGATGATTTTAAGGTGAAGGTACCCAAGTTATTGTCATCGCCTAAAGATTCTAAAAGATAAATCTGAACGAGTGATTGCCTCAAAGAAAGAGGACAATACTGACCCATAAAGGACGTATTGTTCTCGAAAGTTATGTTAGCGACGATGAAGGTTAAACGGGTAACGACAGGAAAGTTTATATATTTAACTTAAAAGTCAATTAAAAACTATACCAAAGAATCCGAAAGCTGCACTTAATTATCTTTCTTAACTGATGCAATTGTCGGTTTAGTTTTATTTTTCTCTGTTTTTTTCACTTACTTACAGTCTATCATTAATCGGTTGTTTATCACCAAACTATGTAAAAGCAATCTCATAAACTTACGTTTCCCTAAGTTCTTACGTCTGAGAGCACTTAGTTTTTCTCAGACGTAAGCACTTAGTTTTTCAAATTTGTAATAATGTTTAGAGAATCAAAATGTCTAAAACAATTTTTCATTTATTACAGTAACTTTAATCAATCATTTTCAGTGTTAATCAATTATTTAGATTCATAATTAACAAAGTTTTCAAGTACTGAGTTACAGTAATTGAATAGCCAAGGAAGAACCATGATACGTGATATTCAAATCAGAAAATAAATACATTTTAATTAATGTTTGAGTTTAGGATTGCTGTTTATTTGGCTTCATTACAAATAAGAGAAACTATATGTTATAGTTTTATGAAATAAGCAGAGTAAATTGTTTGCATACTAGTAAAGTCAAATGGCTACAGAAACTAGAAAGTTCAGCGATCAAACGAGAAAACTTATGAATGAAAGGCTTATTTTCATAAACAGCTAGGGGATACAGCTATAAAGAAAGCGTCCGTCTATTTGATTTCCAAGTGCAAACATTCTGAAAATTTTGCAGAAATTCAGAAAACAATTAAAAGAAAAATTAATGAAAGACATTAACACCTTAGACTTAGGTAAGCTGCCTTGTATTGGATGGCCATCAGAATAGTACATGATCAGCTTCATTAAGACAAAAAAAGTATAACTAGAATGTTTCCTAGTCTTAAATGCTCACCAGCGGCCGAGTGCTGGTAAGTCGATGAACGCTGGTAATTTGACCTGGCTTTGATTCCAGGCGAACAGGTTGGCTGCATAGGTGTTTTCGGGGTTTTCCCCATGTGTAATGCGGATACGAGCCAGTTTCTCTTCGAAAATTCTTTATGAAGGCATCCCTTCCCTTAGGCAGATAGATATCTTTAGAGTGCTTTTATATAATCAAATAAACCAAACCAAACCTAGTCTAAATTAACTTTCTAGGAAAGATTACAAATTTGAGGATTGGACTATTGAAGATTTTGAAATTTAAGGAGATTACAAATATTTTAAATAAGTTACTTCACATGTAATATGACAGTTTTTGTACACATGAATTCAAGACTGTAACAGTCATAATTTGGTATGTGTTAATTCTCGTAAAGGCTGAAAAATGTGCTAATTTTATGATTAAATCCTTAATAAATATTTCAACATAGACGACTGCGTTAAAGCACATAAACAGGTCTTATATTAATATAATGTAGGCAAAAATGAAGCTTTCCAATGATAAACAAAGGTGCATATAATTTTTATTGTAGTTAAGATTATAAGTGATAATTTAGTTTCGGTGTTCGTTCTGTTATAAGGTATTTCTCCCGCCTTCCTAGTGTGCCTTCGTGGTGCAGTGGTTCTGCACGCTGGGCCGGTATTCCAGAGGTCCGTGGTTCGATTCCCGGCGAAGGCGTTAGCTAATGTTTCATCTTGCCTGCTTCCAAAAATACCTAATGTCTCTACAGTGGCGCCCGAATTAAAAGGGTGTTGCATGATGATGCTCCGCACCCAGGATTTGGCGACTGGATCCCCTAGAAACCCCAGTTGCCCTTTAAAAGGGGGAGTGTATAAGGTATTTCTCCCGGTTTCCTAGCCGTGCCTTCGTTGTGTAGTGGTTCTGCACGCTGAGCCGGTATTCCAGAGGTCCGTGGTTGGATTTCCGGTGAAGGCGTTTGCTAATTTTTCATCTTGCCTGCTTCCAGAAGTACCTAATGTCTCTACACTGTTATTTAAAGATTAAAATTTATGGATCAAATTTATCACTTAAGTATGTTATATATGTAGATTAACAAAGTGCTCAATAGGATTTCTAAAATAGTAATCTGAAAAAGATTTAAGTAGTCATTGAGTTATTCAAGACGTTAATAATCAGGACTGTAAAGAATACATCAATCACCATCAAAACGACTGCATTTTATTTATCACGAAGATAACGATTTTATCTTAAAACTTAAACCGCAAATGCTATTAAATATTTGATAAACATTGAGACGGAACGAGAAACATCGTTTTCCCTCTATATGAAACAATGAATTATTCAAATGAAATAAAATTAAAAATATGATACATTTTCTGAAGCTCCGAAAAGAAAGAAAATGATTCTCTTAAAGGCCCATTAATGGCCAAGTGGTTAAAACCGCTGATGTTATATAGTAAACAATTATACATAAATTACTAATATATGATTAAGGTAAAATATTAATCAGTACCTCATTTTAGTAACAATATTAAATAGAAACAGTACTTTTCAAACTGATTTTACTGTTATTTTATTTCATTTGAACCCAAAGATTGTTATTTTTAACTATTTGTCGCATTATTTGTTTATAAAGATTGCATCTGAAGGCTAAATTTTTAAACTGTTTAATACAAGTTATGTAAAGATTGAGTTTTTACCGTATACACATACATGCTGCAAAAAGTAGAATATATAAATAGAAGTTCGCGATTAAATTGGCATCATTCTACGTTGTAATTCAGCAGAAACTAACTATAAAAGCAAATACAGGGGAGCCTTGCTGCCTTTTGCATTTGTCTCCATTGTCGGGCGTATAAACGTCAATTGAAAGTTTAAAAAAAAAAATCTTGTAAGTTATAAACTATACATTTTTTATTTCTGTACAGAGTTCAAAATTTTAATATTTTACTTAGCAAATAATAAGGTGTTTGTCGAACAGAATTCCTGTATATACTGCTATTCTAAATGCATTATAGTATATGTTACTCTGTAGACTGTGTTTCAAAATTTATCTACTTTTCTGATTTTCCGACTTGCTCAAATTTATGTATATATATGTATGAAATAGCACCAAATGGAATTTAATGAGGAATATTTTCTGAAGCTGCACAAAACTGAAATTTTAGTTACAAAGCATTTTGTGGATTTAAAAGCTCACGTTGCATCATGCTTTGTTATATCACGCTTTTAAGGCTCAGAATTTTAAGTAATTTTTACGTAAATATAAAGTATGGCCTTTAAATATTATCGATTATTTATTCTTAAGTCTTGAAATAAGAGTTTCTTTTAAAAAGTCAATCTGAACACGTAACTGTTAATTTTTCATTTCTTCCTTGGGAAGCTGACATGGCTCCTGTTCCGCTTAAAACAGATCTGCACCTTTCCGATGAGGAAACGATAGATGATGATGACGAGAAAACGCCTCTGAATGAGAACACTTACGGCAGGTAAGTTTTCATAATTTATTTCCTTTAACACTTTCTTTAAAATTTGGTAAAGCTTCTTTTCCATATAGTACTTTAAACTAAAAATATTTTATTAAGCTATTTATTAGGGAAAAACATGAAACTTTGCTCTTGCATTACTTACTGGTGTTTTTTGGAATTAATATAAAGCTACCTACTAAATTGAAAAATTTGGACAATTCAATAGTTCAGTGCACTTTGAGAAATGAAAAGTGGGCTCTTTAAGTTTATTATCTGTGTCAAACAAAAGTAGAATTTAGAACCGCTTTTGAATTCTTGTGCTACTTTTGCATTTGTTAAAATCTTACTTTAAATACATAAGAAATATTTGGGAAAAAATGGAGTACACTCAGTTTTTAGATATAATTAAAATAAGAATAAACTAAATGATTTATTTACCCTTTCGGAGTCTGTCTTATTTGGATAGTTTTGTTAAACGGCAAACAACTCGCCAAATCATTTTCTTCAGAAAGATGCACTCGCCAACGTTGGCTGTTGGCCACCTTAAATTAAATGTGCTATTCTTTAGTAGTATTGTCAAAGTTTTTAATGTGTTATTAGTGAATTAAGATATTTCTTACATTTAGAAAACTTTTCGAAGTAAGAGTTGATGACTCAAATGTTTTCTAGCTAGAAGTTTCGAATTGGTGCATATACATCTTCTTATATAGCAGCTTTGCGCAAGTTGTCGTGTAACTGAAACTATTCTTATATTGCTCTTCAGGCTCAAGTTCTCAGCACATAAAACTTTTATAAAAGTGTGTGAATACATTTAGTATATCTTTGGATTCATCTTTGATCAAAATGCTAGTCCTATAACAATGCGCATTTTGGAAAGTTACTCGGGCAAATTCATTAAAGACAAATTCTTCCTCTTTTCTATGTGTAGATTCTTTTCATTTCTGTAGAAATATTTCCGTTTAAGTTTAGTTTCAGTTATTAATTTTAACATGAGATCAATAATTTTTTACTTAATTTTGTTGTAGTATGCTATAATTTAGACGGTAATTTGAGTTTGGGGAAAGGTGGCAAATTTAACACATTTGATGAAATACTTAAACAAGGTAAACTTTAACTGACGTCGGAGGCAGATTTATGAAGTTAAGCCCGCCATTTGGGGAAATGTCTGATCTTAAGTCACGAGTTTTTTTAATTCCCGGGAGCTTTATTTAATAGCCATCAGCCTTGGGCCACTACAAGGGCCGGAAATGGTGGCCATTTCATTATGGAAGCGCCTAATAGGTGGCTTCCGTTGGTTTCCTATGAAGGAACTGGAACCCGGCCTCAGCGCTGAGGCAGACAGGGTCGCTAAACAATATACCGGCTGGGCGGCTAAGTCAGAGTATGTTCACCATTTTTAAAATTAATCGTAACAGCTTTTTGCACCTTAAATCCGTAGCTCCATAAATTAATCTCTTATTTATGTTCCAAATTTTCGTAGTTGAGTGGTATACAGAGAATGTATAAATCACACAGAAGCGGTCCGGAACAAATAGATGAAACTGTATCTTCCGTAAAATGTAAACATATCGATACTGTTATTTTATGTAAGGCTCCCAATATATGTAAGAGTAGTTCATAATTTCTAAATGCTTGAAACATTTGATTGAAGACAAGCGAGCTACGAACAAGGAGTCCAAGTCATTTCACTTGGATCAAAGAAATGTGGATTGTTGAAAATGCTTTTCTTTAATACTAATATCGATGCATTCAAACTGACTAAGAACCTAACGAAAGTTTTAGGAATATTTTGAAGGAAACTGATTTCATGACCAAATAGCTAGAAGTAAACCATTTTTCAGTAAAGCAAAGAGAAAGGTATGATTACAATTCCCTATGATACGTATTAAAAAGGCCTTAATTATTTTTAGACATTGGTATTTATAGATGAAGTAAATTTAAGGGAATAATGAAAAGCAAATGTAAGGCGAAACTCTATACTGAACTTAAAAAATAGAATATTAACTCCTTTAGTAAAACGTGGAGATAACTTGTCTGGGCTGTACGAGTGCGTGCGACGTTAGAAATCAAAATTTTATTGATAGCAAAAACAAATTTAAACATTTTGAAACAAAACCTTAAAGACCTCCGAAATGTGCATATTGTTACTATTTTCATCAGGATAATGATCATAACCATAATCTTACCTGCAAATTGGATAACTAGATTATCCATATGTTATCAAACATCTGCGCTGACTTAAGACTTTAATCGTGTTTAGCACATTATGAATTATATGCAAGACAGAATTAATAAATTAAAATTTCCAACAGAAATAAACTTGGACTCATCACGGAATGGAAAAAAAATGAAAGCAAATCTTTCAAAGTTTTGTCAAGTCCATGCCTAGAAAACTGAATGAAATTGTACAAAAAAGAGGCCAACACATTATTAAAGTACTTTTCAGTTTTCTGAAAAACATGTTTATGCCCCAACACCTTTTCGACCTTCTCGTTTGTACACAAACATATAATTTGACGTTTAACATTTTTGGCTAGTTCTAAAATTAGCTCTAAGATCAGGTTTATAAGAAATCTGTTTCGTTTAAATTAAATATTTAATTGCTCTTTCTAAAACGTTTGTTGTTCCCCATTGTTTTGACTCGTTGTATTTCTCTTAAACGCAAAACATCAACGAATTTATGAAGCAGTTTTGATGCTTGATGAGAACTAACCCGATGAAAATTTAATTTACAGTATACTATAGTACGGTACCAGACACAGAATATCCCGAAAATTTGATTAAAATCTCGGTGAAAGATTTACTTCTTATACAGCTGTTTAGACTAATGGTTATAAAGCTTGAACCTTTATCAGATACAATAAGTAATTATTAATTTATTTAAAGGAGGTATTTCGGCATTTATATGCGCTGCAGATTACGCTAACTCAACTCTAATCCCTTTATTTATCAAAAGTTTACTGTTTTGGGGGAAAAAATCCTCCGCTGTATAAGTTGCGTAACTGAATAGGTATACTAAGATTCGTAAGATATCCACTATTGGGACGCGAAAATCTTGTATTTTTCCCAAACTGCAAAAATTGCGGATTACTTAAATTCTAAAGTTCAAACTGGGAACAGAAATGAGCACAGCGCTTAGGTGAAAAGATTTACCGAAACGAGAGTTTGATCTCATTAAGGTTCATTCTTTCCTAGATTAGGTCAACCAATTTATCCGTATCTCGCTCGTTTCCGTTGTAGGGCAACTTTTGCATTTAATTCCTTTCCTAATACGTGACCAAAGTCTTGACTCTTCGACCTGAAATCTCGACAATTATAATCTTTTGATCCAATCATTTACTTCTTATGATTGCTGTCTAAATAACAACTTGGATAATTCTGAAAGTCCAAATGAATGTATTCTATCACTAACAGATTTTACTTATTATTTATCAGAACATACCAAAGTAACAGCACAGAAGGTCGCATTTGCGGAACATTTTTGCAATATTAACATAATTGCCACATTTTTCTCAGCTGTTGCTCATTACCATTTTTAGACAAGTTTAACATAGCGTTAAAGCTTTCTTTCGATGGTGTTTAAGCATAAGTTAAAATTCTAGAATAATTTTATGATAAGCTTATATATTGTCAGTTTCCGCTTTCATTTTAAATCCTCGATATATAATTATAATCTTTTTCGATATATAGCTCGACTTTTAATTTTTTATTTAAAAAATATTAGTTTAGTTTCTATTTTATAATAGGATTACGTTGCATTCGATTTTTAATTTATTTGGATGCTTTTGTAGATTGATTTATACCTGAAACATTTTATACATTGCACATATATTAATTATGCCTTAAGGAGGGAGCCGTTAGTGTGGCTTATTTGGTCTCTTGTAGCAGTGATGTCCGAGAAATGGTCGTAGCTAAAAGTTAATGTGGGCTAAGTAATTATTGTACAAAAGTAATTGGTTAGTATCGTTCTCAGAAACCAGCAATGACTGACTGGTCAGCCGCTGAACAGTGGTAATTCGTCCCGAATTCTATTCCCGGCGAACTAGTCTGGCTGCGCATTTTTCTTTCAATTCAACGGGAATGCGAGCTTAGTCTCCCTAAACGCTTCCATCATGCGGCAAACAGCCTTTGGGGCTTTTCTCAAATCAACCAGCTCAGTACCGTTTGAAATGAGATTACACTTTTCGAGCGAATTCCCATGTAGATTAACGGCTTTAAGTTAGAACCTCGCAAGAAACTAAGTAAACCGTTGAAGATTAGCTCTTTGAATAAGACCGACGTAGCTGAATAATAGTAAATAAAATCTGATTTCAGAGAGTCTGTAGTCCAGATACTTAGAAACAATCATTAGGAAACGCGCACATTATTTATAAATCCTGTATGCCACTTTCTAAGTTATGCTGCCAGCGTATTTACATAAAAGGACTTCACTAAGGCGTAACCACATCAATAATTTGGTAGGCCATGAATAACAGACCGGGGGAATATTGAAGTCTTGGTTAGTGCGAAAGAAGAATATTTATTTGATGCGCATGTACAGACGGTGCCTGAGGCGGGAGAAAGAAAAGTAAGAAGGTCTTACGAAAGCGAATCAACACTATTTAAAACTAATACTCTAATACATTGAGGCTCACCAGCGCCGACGGTATTCCTGAACCTGTAGTTCGGTCAAGGTTCGAATCCCGCGAACGGGCTGGGCATGGTGTTTTCGTGTTTTCCCCCATGTTACGTGTATACGAGCCAGGTTCCCTTAGAAAGTCTCCTCCACGAAGGCATCCCTCCCCTTAAGCAGATAGCCCTCGTGTGCTTTGCCATAATTAAATACACCAATGCCTAATGCATTGAATCTATGCTTTTCTTCATTCAAATTATTTGTTTTCAATATAAACGATGAAAATAATTCTGTTAATTTTATTTCAGATAAATGAATAGAATTATTTATGATCTTTAACCCAATAAAACTAATTTTTCTATGAAGACTAATTTCTGCAGGCAATGATCTTGCAAGCTATGAAGTCGAA